ACTTGAAAATAGAGGCTACAGTATGAGAAAAATTACCAACCAAACAAGACTATTGAGAAGACTTGTATAGAAGCCAGGAGATCAAGCATTTTGGATAAGCTGAGAAGCAACGGGCCCAAGAAAGTAAATATCTAGGCCCAATTGAGAACAGTCCCAAAGAAGAGCCAAAAAGAAATCTTCAACACTTTTTTATTGTAAACTATTAGGCCACAATTTGAAAGAAGAAACCCCAATCACATTATGGGCCAACTTGAGCTAGCAAATGACAAAATCCCCAAATTTGAAGAGAGATTGAGTTGCAAAAATCTCAAGAAAGACCAACTATCTGACAATCACAGATTGCAAAAGTTGAATTGGACAATGCATCTTTGTCCAAGCATGCCATCACCATGGTCTTGTCGCTATCACAATTTAATGTGGATGAAAAAACCAACCAAGCACTCTATTATCAGTGGTATATTGAAGGTGCTGAACCGAAGGTTGAATGGTTGTCATCGGAGGTTTTGAAGGTTTCAATAGTAGTTAAATACCAAAAAATGTAACTCATTCTTCTTCAGTTGCTAGTAGAGCTGTTTAATTTGAAGCTTGGTTGTACTGTTAACCATAGTCTCTAATTTTCTATCATATTTCATTTGTTCCATTTATGTGTATCCGGAGTGATATTGAGCTTCTTTTTTCCAAATGCCCATAGCAGCACAAATAATATCCTCCATTTCTGCTCTTTGTTGTTGAATTTTTTAATGGTTGAAGTATCAAATAATGGTGGTTTCCCTCTTCATTTTCATCTCTACCCATGCGTTTGTTGGAAAACCCAAAAGTTGATGTGCGTTGCATGTTATGTGATATTGGGCATTCTAAACCTAAAAAATTAGCTCAAGAGGTGAGGTTTTTGCTCAAACTTTATGAATTGACTATCAGTCCCTTCCATAATTGATATAGGACAACATCAACAATCTACCCCTCACAAATTGAACATTGCGAGAGACTAAACCTGTCTTCCCTTCACACATCGGGACCTGTGGGAGACCAAACCCGCCACCCCCTCACACAATGGGCCATGGATGAGACTAGACCCGTCCTCCTCCTCACACAAACTCGTGACTCACATGACTATTGAGCCTAGGACTTGTCATTAACTTGGGCTCTGATACTAATGTTGGGTGATATTGACCTTCTCAACCCCAAAAACTAGTTCAAAAGATGAGACTTTCTTTCCCACTTTATAAATTGACTATCAGCCTCAGCCCCTTCTACAACCGATTATTTCATACATCAAAACTTGTCTTATTACAAAACATAAGATCCTTTCTATGGGATTCGTAACAAATTGATGCAGGATGCATTATGAGAATTATAAGAGAATGGAAAAGGGGAGATGAAGAGAAATGAGGGGAAAAAGAGAGAAGAAGCGGAAGATAGAAATTGGGGGAAAAATCAGTTTATTTCATATATCAAAGATTGTCTTATCACAAAGCATAATATCCATTTATATAGGGATTCACTGGGAAACATATAATAAAAGCAACTAAATTAAACCTAATTATGTTTCCTAAAATACTAATTAAAACTGGAAACTAAACACAATAATATCCCTTATTATATTGCATCATGATGTTTCATGTCAAGATGATTAGGACTGCCTATAAATTTCAAGCAGAAAATATGACTTGGTGATCATCAGTAACGTTTCGACCCATTTTCTAGTTAAATGTGAGGCAGTATTTCACAATGATGCTCTGCATTCTATCATGTTTCTTAGAAGCAAGCCCAAGAGAACACCTGAGCAAAAAGTGCAGCAAGGCAAGCTTTGGCTGTTTTGTAAAGCGTTGTTATCTTGAAGCATTAAAATTTGCACAAAGTTTGAGACCTTTTTCATCTGAGCCACTGCTTTCTTAGTTTGTTACATGGAATTGAGCTAGTTGCTTAAAATGTATATAATCATAATACAAAATTATTTTTTGCTAATTTTGAATGAATCGGTGATGAAATCAAATTATCTTTGCAACAACTACTGAAAATTGCTTTAGTTTCTCAATAATGCTGAATTGTCATTACATATTGATTTTTTCCATTTCAAATATCTATATTCTCGGAAAACCATAGTTTGCGGTGACCTTTTAGATGTGGTAATAATGTTATTAATATATCAATTTTTCATAGACGACGCTAATCTGTTGACCTCAAAAAATGCATCAACAGACTCCCGACCACGTCCTCTACATGCAAGCAACACCTGCACACTCGAACACTTGGTTAGAAGGGAAAGACCATCGATCGAGAAAAAGGTTTGACGATCTTTTGCACTCTGATGATCAAATCAACAGTGGAATGAAATATAAAGAGTGCAAGAGACGGGAGATGTAGTTTGGCTAGGGTTTTCGAACATACATTATTATGAAATGAACTCATATTTCTAAAAAATTAAATGGGCCAAGTGGACATGATAGGCCGAGCTCCAAGCCTAATATGATGTTACTTGAGTAAATAGGCCATTCCAATCCCAAGATGCTATTGTTTAATTAAATAGGCTCAATCTATTGAATAGTCGATACCATGTAATTTATCAGTGTAACAAAAGTCATTACCTTAACCGCAATTGGATTCGAATGCTAGGTTAACTAGTTCTCAAAGTGATGCACACTATAAGGCTCGATGAGAGGCCTTTGTCCTATCAAGTGAAGCACCGAGCCCACGCTTCCTTCGAAAACGAACCATTTTCAAATACTATCTCAAATTCTAGTTTATTTTTTTATTCGTTGAAGTGAGGGTGTATTTTTGACCAAAGGGATTCAGATTCTAGGAAAAAAGTTCTTTCCAAGGTACAACAAGAAAATTGGATTCGATTCATAACCAAGAAAGTGAAGAACGAATGATCCTTCAAACAAAAAAAGAGTGATTGAGTCTTTGAAGTGGGCCTTTCGTACAAAATCTATAGGGAAAAGGACAATTTTATATATAAATGTTGCATAATATTTTTTGAAAAGTTCACATGAAACAACTTCGTGTTAATAGTAGTTGCAATACAGTACTTGCGTAGAACTCCTGTCTATCTACATAAATGTTTTTTGCAATTGATGCTTTCTACCCTATAAAGGAAAAAAACACTTCAAAGCCCCTTAAAGCAGCATGGATCTCGATCTACCAACCATTGTTGAAAATGTACATTTTTCAATGGCAATTACTGAAGCAGAATCTGGATTCATAAGATTGTACACAGTTCCAGCGATATTTCCTACAGCGATGGCTACCTCAAGTGCTTTAAATGCTACATTCAATTTGTTCTGAAAATATAATAAGAAAAAATTTCAAGTCTTCCCGATTTAATAAGAAAAAAATTGTTCTAAAGGAAGCAGAAAACTGACCACTTTATGGGTTGGAACAATTGATGTTGAAGCAGGCTGCCAGAGGAAAAAAAAATCTTAGGAAAACTTCACTTTAATCTTGTCAAATTGGTAAGTTCATTGTTAAATTATGTGACAAGTCTTTGATTTATTTAGATTTCCTCAATATAAGATAGGGAAAATATTCTATGAGAGTTTGTATGTACAAATCTCAAATTTTTGTATTAGCAATTTATTTCGTGTCAAACACAACTTTGTCTACCAAAAAATTGCCAAAATTAACACGCTGAAAATCAAAGATTTGTTTGCATGAACAATCAAAGTGTCGAGAATGGTGAGGGCTACCTCAAAATGCTACATTCCATTTTTTTTTAAAATATGATATGAAAAATTTCCAAGCCGTCCCAGTTTAGCAAGATTTTTTTTTATGTATATAAAAACTTAATAATGCAAAAAATTGACCTCATTATGAATTGATGTTTTAGTTGGTTACCAGGAAAAAAATTATTAGGAAAACTTCACTTTATTCTGCAGGTCAAATTGTAAGTTCTTTGTTAAATTATGTGACAAGTCTTTGATTTAGATTTCCTCAATATAAGCTTGTATGTACAAATATCAAGTTTTCGTACTAACAGTTTATTTATTGTCGAACACAACTTTGTCTAGCAATAAATTGTCAAAATTAACACGCCGAAATGCAAAGATATGTTTGCGGGGTAATTGGCACAAAACGTTCCTATCTTTCAAGTTTATTGTAGAAAACATTCCTACCTTTCATTTTTTGGCACAAAACGTCCTTACCTTCCATTTTCTTGGCGCTGAACGTCCCTACTATTCATCTTCTTCTTCCCCCACCCCACCCCACCCCACCCCATCATACAAAATCTCTCTGCACAGCAAATCCTCCAAATCCGAAGCCCCATTACATCTTTCAGCACAACTGAATAGGATATAATTCATAAATCAAACTACATACAGCTTTAGAAAACTGAAAAACTGAATTACAAAGAAAGATTAAAAAATAAAATGAACTTACAATGTAAGAGAGTGCAATATCAGGGTCAATGGTGGAATCGTCACCATCATTCTGAAAACAGCCAGCCTCTCCTTCTTCAAGTTCATTTTCTTTCATTTCTAACCCTAAACCTGACCAATTTTCCCCATCTATACTACCCACAGAAATCATCAAAACTGAAAAATAACAATAATAAAAGATAAATAGCAAAAAAGTAAGCTATTAACAACCCTCGAGAGATGTAATGAAGCTTCGGATTTGGAGGATTTGCTGTGCAAAGAGATTTTATATGGTGGGGTGCGTGGGAAGGGGTGTCGTGAAGAAGACAACCCATTTTTTAAAAAAAAATTTCTTAATTTTTTGATTTTTTTCAATTTATTTAATATGGTAATTATCAAGTTACTATTTGTAATTTTTAGAAAATTTGGGAATATGGTTGCAATTAGTTTTTTTTTTATTTTTTTCCTCTCTTTTCTTTTTATTTTATTTGAATGGAGGGTAAAATCATCAAAAATTGATGAAAAATACGTTCAGCGCCAAGAAAGTGGAAGGTAGGGACGTTTTGTGCCAAAAAATGAAAGATAGTGATGTTTTCCACAATACATTTGAAAGGTAGGGACGTTTTGTGCCAATTACCCTATGTTTGCGTGAACAATCAAAGTGTTGAGAATTGCAAGAACTACCTCAAATGCTTTAAATGCTACATTCCATTTTTCTAAAAATATAATATGACAAATTTCCAAGTGGTCCCAATTTATCAAGATTTTTTTTCAAGTATATAAAAACTTAAGGATGTGGAAAACTGACCTTTTTACTTCCTGGAACAGTTGATTTTGCAGTTGGCTGCCAGGAAAGAAAAATTATTAGGAAAACTTTACATTATTCTTCATGTCAAATTGGTAAGCTCTTCTTTAAATTGTATGGCAAGTCTTTGATTTATTTAGATTTCCTCAATTTAAGCTAAAGAAAATATTGTACGATAGTTTGTATGTACAAATCTCAAATTTTTGTAATAGCAATTTATTTAATGTCAAACACAACTTTATCAAGCAATAAATTGTCAAAATTTAACATGCTGAAAATCAAAGATATATTTACATGAACAATCAAAGTGTCGAGAATGGCCAGAACCACCTCAAATGCTTTAAATGCTACATTCCATTTTTCCCAAAACATAATATGAACAATTTACAAGTTGTCTCAATTTGCCAAGATTTTTTTTTCTAGAATATAAAAACTTAAAAATGCAGAAAACTTATATTTTTACTTGTTGGAACAATTGATGTTATATTTGGCTGCCAGGAAAAAAAATTATTAGGAGAACTTTACTTTATTCTTCATGTAAAAAAAATAAGTTCTTTGTTAAATTATGTGACAAGTCTTTTATTTATTTAGATTTCCTCGATTTATGCCAAAGAAAATATTGTACGATAGTTTGTATGTACAAATCTCAAATTTTTGTACTAACAATTTATTTAATGTCAAACACAACTTTATCTAGCAATAAATTGATAAAATTAGCATGCTGAAAATTAAAGATATATTTGCATGAACAATCAAAGTGCCGAGAATGGCCAGAGCTACCTCAAATGCTTTAAATGCTAAATTCCATTTTTTATCAAAACAAAATATGAAAAAATTTCAAGTTGTCCCAATTTATCAAGATTTTTTTTTCTAGAATATAAAAATTAAGAATGCAGAAAACTGACCTTTTTACTTGCTGAAACAATTGATGTTGTAGTTGGCTGCCAAGAAAAAAATTATTAGGAGAACTTTACTTTATTCTTCATGTCAAAATAATAAGTTCTTTGTTAAATTATGTGACAAGTCTTTGATTTATTTATATTTCCTCGATTTAAGCTAAAGAAAATATTGTACAATAGTTTGTATATTACAAATCTCAAATTTTTGTACTGGCAACTTATTTAATGTGAAACACAACTTTATCTAGCAATAAATTGCCAAAAATTAACATACTGAAAATTAAAGATATATTTGCATGAGCAATCAAAGTGTCGAGAATGGCCAGAACTGCCTCAAATGCTTTAATTACTACATTACATTTTTTCTCAAAACATAATATGAAAAATTTCCAAGTTTTTACCAAGATTTTTTTTCTGGTATATAAAAACTTAAGAATGCAGATAGCTGACCTTTTTATTTGCTGGAACAATTGATGTTGTTGTTGGCTGCCAGGAAAAAAAAATTATTAGGAGAACTTTACTTTATTCTTCAAGTCAAAATATTAAGTTCTTTGTTAAATTATGTGAGAAGTCTTTGATTTATTTAGATTTCCTCGATTTAAGCTAAAGAAAATATTGTACAATAGTTTGTACGTACAAATCTCAAATTTATGTACTAGCAATTTATTTAATCTCGAACACAACTTTATCCAGTAATAAATTACTAAAATTAGCATGCTGAAAATCAAAAATATATTTACATGAACAATCAAAGTGTCGATAATGGCCAGAGCTACCTCAAATGCTTTAAATGCTACATTCTATTTTTTCTCAAAACATAATATGAAAAATTTCCAAGTTATCTCAGTTTACCAAGATTTTTTTTTTTCTAGTATATAAAAACTTAAGAATGCAGAAGACTGACCTATTTACTTGCCGGAACAATTGATGTTGTTGTTGGCTGCCAGGGAAAAAAAAATTATTAGGAGAACTTTACTTTATTCTTCATGTCAAAATAATAAGTTCTTTGTTAAATTATGTGACAAGTCTTTGATTTATTTAGATTTCCTCGATTTAAGCTAAAGAAAATATTGTACGATAATGCTGTCCAAATCTCAAATTTTTGTACTAGCAATTTATTTAATGTTAAACACAACTTTATCTAGCAATAAATTGCCAAAAATTAACATACTGAAAATCAAAGATATATTTGCATGAACAATCAAAGTGTCGAGAATGAACAGAGCTACGTCAAATGCTTGAAATTCTACATTCCATTTTTTCTCAAAACATAATATGAAAAATTTCCAAGTTGTCCCAGTTTACCAAGAATTTTTTTTCTAGTATATAAGAACTTAAGAATACAGAAAACTGACCTTTTTACTTGCTGGAGCAATTGATGTTGTAGTTGGCTGCCAGGGAAAAAAAATTTATTAGGAGAACTTTACTTTATTCTTCATGTCAAAATAATAAGTTCTTTGTTAAATTATGTGATAAGCCTTTGATTTATTTAGATTTCCTCGATTTACGCTAAAGAAAATATTATACAATAGTTTGTATGTACAAATCTCAAAATTTTGTACTAGCAATTTATTTAATGTCAAACACAACTTTATCTAGTAATAAATTGCCAAAAATTAACATGCTACAAATCAAAGATATACTTGCATGAATAATCAAAGTGTAGAGAATGGCCAGACCTTAAATGTATTAAACGCTACATTCCATATTTTCTGAAAATATAATATGAAAATTTTTCAACTTGTCCTAGTTTAGCAAGATCTTTTTCAAGTATATAAAAACTTAAGAATGCATAAAATTGACCTCTTTAAGTGCTGGAACATTTGATGTTGTAGTTGGCTGCCAGGAAAAAAATTCTTAGGAAAACTTTAGTTTATTTTTCATGTCAAATTGGTAAGTTCTTCGTTAAATTGTGTGACAAGTCTTTGATTTATCTAGATTTCCTCAATATAGACTAAAGAAAATATTGTATGGTAGTTTGTATGTACAAATCTCAAATTTTTGTATTAGCATTTTATTTAGTGTCAAATCTAGCAATAAATTGCCAAAATTAACATTCTGAAAATCAAAGATATGCTTGCATGAAAATCAAAGTGTCGAGAATGGCCAGTGCTATCTCAAATGCTTTAAATGCTACGTTCCATTTTTTCGGAAAATAAAATATGAAGAATTTCCATGCCACCCTAGTATAGCAAGATTTTTTTCAAATACAAAAAAATTTAAGAATGCAGAAAACTGACCTCTTTACGTGCTTGAACAATAGATGTTGTAGTTGTCTACCAGGAAAAAATTTATTAGGAAAACTTTACTTTATTCTTCATGTCAAATTGGTAAGTTATTCGTTAAATTATGTGACAAGTCTTTGATTTGTTTAGATTTCCTCAACATAGGCTGAAGAAAATATTGTACGGTAGTTTGTACAAATCTAAAATTTTTGTATTAGCAATTAATTTAGTGTCAAACACAACTTTATCTAGCAATAAATTGCCAAGATTAACACGCTTAAAATCGAAGATATTTTTGCATGAACAATCAAAGTGTCGAGAATGGCAAATACTACCTCAATACTTCAAAAATTAAGCTGAGTTGCCAAAAAGGGATTAACAGAACCCTTGAGCGACACTCACATGACGCGTGGGATCGGCGTGAATAAAAAATGCCAAAAAAATACTTTTTTCTCCCCTAGGGATGACAGAAATATTCGCCAAACCCGATACTAGGTACGAGGCAGGAAATTCCATCCCGAGTCAAATACGGGGCGGTTACGGGCAACGAGGGCCCCACCCGACTCCGTCCCATTTATTTTTTATTTTTTTTAAGAATTCAATACTTTAAATGGAAAAAATTCCATGAAATTTCATTAATTTTATTAGAAGATGGCAATTAAGATTATCTAAGGAATATGAAAAACAATAAAAACCTTTGTCTATCAAATATATTTCAATAATTTAATTTTAAAAATTAATTAACTAATTAGAAAATTTAATAACTATATTATTGTCTCACTTGAATGTATGGGAGAAATAAAATGAATTATCAAAAATTATATAGAAAAAACTTAAACGGGTATGTAAACGGGGCAATTGCCCTGCCTCCCATTGCCAACCCTACTCCCCCATTGTGTGTGTGGTATCACAAAGAGTTTTCTATCAGCATATCACGGTTGATACTTTAAATGCTACTTTCCATTTCTTCTGAAAATGTAATAAGAAAAAAATTCCAAATTGTCCCAGTTTAGTAAGAATTTTTTCAAAGTATATAAAAACAATATAATGCAAAAAACTGACCTCTTTACGTGTTGGAACAATTGATGTTGTAGTTGGCTGCCAAGAAAAAAAACAATTATTAGGAAAACTTTACTTTATTCATCATGTCAAATTGGTAAGTTCTTTGTTAAATTATGTGAATAATCTTTGATTTATTTAGATTTCCTCGATATACGCTAAAGAAAATATCGTATGATAGCTTGTATGCACAAATCTCAAATTTTTGTACTAGAAATTTATTTAGTGTCAAACACAACTTTGTCTAGCAACAAACTGCCAAAATTATCACGCTGAAAATCAAAGATATGTTTGCATGAACAATCAAAGTGTTGAGTTCCACTTTTTCGAAAAATATATTAAGAAAAATTTCCAAGTCGTCCCAATTTTTTTTAAATAAGTATATAAAACACAGAAGAATGCAGAAAACTGACCTCTTCAGATGTTGGAATAATTGATGTTGTAGTTGGTTGCTGGAAAAAAAAAATTATTAGGAAAACTTTACTTTATTCATCATGTCAAATTAGTAAGCTCTTTTTATTAAATTATGCGACAAGTCTTTGATTTATGGAAAACACCACTCAAATAGAGAGCCCTATCCAAAAACCCTGTCAGCCAAGCATCTTTCTTGATTTATTTAGATTTCCTCAATATACGCTAAAAATAATATTGTATGATGGATTGTATTGTATGATGGATTGTATGATGTATTGTATGTACAAAATACTACATTCCATTTTTTTCCTGAAAATATAATATGAATAATTTTCAAGTCGTCCCAGTTTTGCAAGATTTTTTTCGAGTATATTAAAAATAGAAGCATGCAGAAGACTGACCACTTTATGTGCTGGAATAATTGATGTTGAAGATGTCTCCATCTTAATATATTGGAGATGGTAGACCTAATTGACACCTCTATTGAGCGAAAATTAACTTTTATCAAGATTTGTTAGACATTACCTTGTCTTTCTTAATCCCTGTTGCATGTGTTGTATCTCGGGTGACTTGGAGCAATGTGTAGTTGTCCAAATACCGAGTGCGGCCATTGCGATTGTGATCACATTTAGAAGACGTATAACAACCACGGCATAGGGTGAAAGAGCAACCCACACATGAGAAAAATATTCCCGGCATAAAGTTATCGCAAAAACTGAAAAATGGCCTCCCGGTTTTTATGATGTAGTATAAAGTCATTACTTCCCAGAAACCCAGTGTGTCATTCCCATCTCAATCTAACTTCTTGAAAAAGGAATGACTATTAATCCGAGATTGGCATTTCTGACTCGTAAATTCTAGGAACTCTCCCAGATCAATCCGGCTATCGCCATCACTGTCCATTGAATTGAAGAATGTAAGTGCTAAAGCCTGAACTTGTTGAGAGCCTGCCCGATAGTGAGCTTTTGCAATATCGCACAATTCTTCCATGTCTCTCCCTCTCTCTTTTTCGCTACAAATAGCTTAAACAGAGGATAGAAAATGTGCCACTTGGCATCTGTAATGCAATATATATAGTATGTAATAAGTCCCTGTGGAGCTTTTTTCTTTCTTTCTTCCTTTTTTTTTTCTTTTTCACAAAATTTCATGGACAAGCACTACTGGAAAGGAATGATAGACTTTGAATCCCATTATCGTTGACCTTTCAATCTTTGAGTGTTACCATAATTGACCATTTTTACACTAAGTCCGATTTTAGTCAAAGTCAAAATAAAAAATAATCAAGCATTTCATGGGATCCACATCAATTCAACTACATATTTTATCAATTTTTATTAAAATTTACTAAAAATTTAATTATAATTTCCACCGTATAGAGGCTAAATATATACATATATAAATATAGATGGCAAGTTCACTTGATCTTATCATCTCAAGCTTTGAATGGCTTTACTAATTGAATAGTGTAATTTGCCATTATCAATGCTACACTATGTTCATTTTAGTTGTCATTATGTAATAGACTCAATTAAGTCCATATTTGATTTCAATTAAAATATGATTTTAATCAAGCCCCTGTTTGCCCCCCATAAAATTTCATCAAATTAAATTAAAATTTTTGCTCTCCTATTTTCAACCACATAATTTTCATTAAAATAATATTACACGTAAATCAAAATTTTTTCATTCTTTTACGATCTTCCATTTTTCAAAAAAAAAAAAAAAAAAAAAAACTAATCCTCATTATAATCAAAAGTAACGGGGGCCAAATGAGGAGCAAGTCAAAGTTCACAATTAATGTTGATCATACATTTTGTAGAGGACTATGCTAGAAGTACAAAACCAACTACAAAAAGTTTGACAAACTCGACACTTGGCGGCTGCCTGTTGAAGGGGAGGCTGTGGAGCCAACCACCCCTCCAACAGGAGGCCGCCAAGTGTCGAGTTTGTCAAACTTTTAGTAGATTATTTTGTACACATATATTAATCCTTTTGTAGAATCATGCAATTGTATTTCGCATTTAATATTACTTAAATACTTATTCAGTAAGGATTAAAATTCAGATTTTAATTTAAGTTAAAGTCAACAATTAATTTAACTACATATTTAATAAGATTCACAATTTTTCAACTATATATTTCATAAACTTTTATTAAAATTTGTTATAAATATAATTTAATCCTTACAAACAGGAATTCCTATCATCTAGATTGATTTTATAATATCAATAATAGCATTAATCTTTGTGATTACTAGTATATTTGCTATTTGGATTGACTTCAATGCCGACACGAGCTAGACTCCACATTGCGGTTGGTATTAAAGATAGATTACGATTTGAGCCCCTTTATTTCTCATTTTCCCCCCATTTTCCAACATTTCCAACCCACGAGCCAGAGACATTTCTACCAACTATTGAAGTCGTGTGTCAGACGACAATAATGCGACCACAACAGTTGGAAATAGATTTACAATTTCACCCTCCTTCTCAACTTGCCAATTCCTAGTTCAAAACTATTGTAAGGACAGTATTGTAATTGGTGTTGACAATGATAATATTATTTTATTGTAAATTTCACATCCAAATGACAAATTGGACGGCTCAGTGAAGTAATAGACAGTATGGGTCCCATCGGCATGCAACTTTTGACTGAAGAAAATAAAAAAGAAAATAAAAAGTAATGGAAATGAATGGGTAGATATTAAACCCTTGTTTGGTCCTCATTTTTTGGGAATGAAAATGAAAGGAATAGTATTTTTTTTTTAAAAATGAATGGTTAAAAAAGAAGGAAATATTTTCGATTTACGTGTAATATCTGAAGGTAATTGGTCTGACCAATTTCGGCAAGAGAACGTTGAAGAATTGTGATTATAGTATGAGGGAACTTTACGATACTAGAATGAGAAAGATACAAATGTCAGTGATTCGAGTTCGGAAGAGGATGAAGTTGTGCTTGAAGATCAAAACGAAGAACCGATGGGAGAAGAAAAAGTTGAAAGTTTGGTGGAATCCGATTATGAGATGAAGCAGGAACAGGAACCCATAACTACTGCTGAAACTAGTAGTCAAAGAATTCATTTTGATTTTGGGTTTGGTTTAGGGGATGAGCTCCAGGTTAGGGACTCCGATACCGACTACGGGGACTCCGATGATTTACGGAGCATTCATAGTGAAGAGGGAGGCGATACAACTTCAGAAAGTAGGGTCTCCAATAATTCTTTCAACGTAGTGATAGATATGGAGGATCCAGTGTTCACGTTAGGTAACTGAAACATATCCTCTACTTCCATTTACATCCATTTTGCACTTTAGTTTAATGAGATCTATATGCAATTTTTTTTTTTTTGATTGTGTAGGCTTAGTATTTGAGTCAAAGTTAGTACTAAAGGCTGCCATCACCTAATATTCAGTTAGAAGCAACAGAGAGATCAAATTTATAAAGGATGACACTCGCAGATTGAGGGCCAAGTGTAAGGGAAATTGTCCATGGGACTAGTATGCTACAAGAGAGCATAATAAGACAAGTTTTGTGATCAAGATGTTTGTCGACAACCATACTTTCCCTATAGTGTATAAGAACTCCGGAGTGACCTCAACCTATTTGGTAGCCAACTATTTATCTGATTGGAGTGCTAATGCCAATATGTCTATCAGTACATTAATGGAGAGTGTTAAGAGGGATGGTTTGAGTGACATCTCACATTGGCAAGTGTATAAAACAAAGGAGAATGCACTTGAAAAAAATTAGAGGGAGCATGGTGGAGCATTATACAATGCTGAAGGATTATTGTGAGGAGTTGAAGAGGACAAATGTTGGGACCACAACTGTAGTTGAGGGACATGCTGGAGAATTCAGATCACTCTACATTGCCCTGGTGCATTGAGGAACTGTTTCATTAGGGGTTGCAAAAGGGTAATTGGGATAGATGGTTGCTTTTTAAAAAAGAGCATGGCGGGCAATTATTGACTGCAATCGGTGTTGATGCTAACAATGGTATGTACTTGGTGGCATACGCAGTTGTTGAAGTTGAGAATAGGAAAAATTGGAGATGGTTTTTGGAGTTATCGAGGGATAATTTACATATACACAATAGTCATAGTCAGCACTGGACATTCATTTCCAATAAGCAAAAGGGTTTGACTAATGCACTTGAGTCATTGTTTGAGAATTCAGAGCAAAAAATGAGCATTAGACATCTATACAAGAATTTTAGTTTGTGCCACAACGAATTGACTTTGAAGAATTGTTTGTGGGATGCAGCTAGAGCTATTACTGTATCACATTGGCTGCGGCACATGCAACGGATATTGGACTTGGACCCGGCTGCTTATGGCTGGCTTAAACCGAAACCAGCTGCTCATTGGAGCAAATCCCACTTTAGAGAGTGGAATTAATGTGACATGCTTCTTAATAATTTATGTGTCGTTTAATAGCACAATTATGAATGCAAGAGAGAAGCCCATATTAACCATGCTAGAGGAGATAAGGGTGTATTTGATGAAGAGAATTGTAGCCTATAGAAAGGCTTGTGATCAATGGACAACAGCAGTGGGACCTAGAATTCAGAAGATTCTAAAAAAAAATAGTAAGCTTGTAAGGATGGAGTGGGCTAAATACGTAGGCAATGAAAAGTTTCAAGTTTGACACAATGCCGGGATTATACTACATGTTGTGGATTTAAGGGCAAGAACCTATACATGCTGTGGTTGGCAACTATCTAAAATTCTCTATTGCCATGTGAGAGCCTCAGTTGTATCTAGAGGCCTTAATGTGATGGAGTTCGTAGATGACGTGTACAAGAAAGATGCATTAATGAAGACATACAAACCATCAATTTCTCCCATAACAAGGCCGAAATCATGGCCTACCCCAGGCCTCAACCCTCTGGATCTACCAGTGTACACAAAAGGGCTGAGAGGCCAAAGAAAAATAGAGGAAAAGAGGCAAATGAGATGACTTCTTCAAGTCAGCCCAAGAGGTCCAGAAAGTCGAAGAGTAGTGTCAGTACTTCGCAGACATTTGAAGGAACGCTAGCTAGTCAACGAAAAATATCAGGGTTGATAATCACTTGTACTAAATGTGGTGAACTATGACACAACAGGAGAGGCTGCAAAGGGGCACCACCTCTAGCACCCAATTAGCATTCATCTGCCTGCCAAGTTCTCCTGCTCATTTCTTTTTGCTTTTGTTTTTGTTCTTTTATTGCACAGGTAGTGCAATGAAGTTAGTTGATATAATGTAGCACGTTAACAACCTATTTGATATCCCTGAACTATTGGATAGATTTTAGCATAGTCAAAACATATCTTTGTTGCACAATGGATATTTATCAGTGTTGAAATGAAAAGTTGCCTCTGGAATGTTATATTATATTTGTGGGTTGATTTTGTGTTGAGACTTTGCTTACTTGGTGGCTAAATTGTTATCTAATTTGTCTCTGAGATGCTGTGATTGAATTGGTATATTTATGGAGTTTGTATTGCTGTGTATAAACAAGTTGCAAGAGAATAAAATAGGGATAGCTTTTGTAAAGATTTTTGAAAACTTGAAAGCTTGTTCACAAATACTTTAGAAAGATAGGGACATTTTATGCAAACATATTTTAAAAGTAGGGATGTTTTAGACTAAATTATTACGATGTAGGAATTATTATCACAAAGTTAACTCCACCTTGGCTAGGACCAGTTTCAACTGCATCATTGGGCCAAATGGACCATTCACCATCGAAATCTTATAGGTACTTCATTGCAACAAATTTGCACTTGTTCTTCTCAATTTACCCATTGGTTACACCCTTAATAAGCATGAAAATGGAAATGAACATCACCAGTTCATTGATAATCCATTCAATATATATCTTCATTTATTATTTTAAATTTTTCAATAACCCATCTAATAGTAGCCATAGTTTATAAATACAATGTTCTTCACCCTTTTTTTCTTTATTTAGTATAATAATTTCATCCATTATTTTCATTTGGCTGCTTAGTGTTGGTTTTGAAATAACAATTTAAAGGCGGAAAGAAGGGGTGTAAATGGGTTGAGACTGTTTTGCCCTTGATGTTTGAAAATAAAACTGTATTTTTGTACTAAATTAATGGAGCAAGTGATGGTCAGTGGACGAAAGGATGTTTTTCACAAAGAAAGGTGGAAATAAGGGCAAAAATGTCAAAAAAAAAAGTGGGGCATTTTCCGCAATAAACCTTAAAGGTATGGACGTTTTGTGCTAATTACCCTTTGGTGGATATTGCAGCTGACTTTCATGTATAGAATGATGAACTTGATGGGTAAGGGAAGCAAGATAACCCTCCAAAATTTGCAACAATATTACCAATTCCAGTTGCAAACTGACCAAATGCTCCAGCAGTACATGTTTGTGAGTCTGCACCCAGCAAGACCTAATGATAGAAATAAATAATCGAAGAATTATTTAGGAAAATAGTGAGGGAACGATAGCAGAGTTCTCTAATTTTGGTAAACACAAAGTACCTCTCCAGGTCTGCAATGTCCTTCTTGGGCAATAGCTACATGGCATACACCTTTATAATATGTATTCACCTGTATGTCAGCACATCAAGTTTTAATCTGTGTTACATACAAACCCATGTAAGAAAGAAGCCTTTAGCATCAAATAGATGGTGTAGCCATACCTTGAAATTCCCAAGATCTTTAATATCATAGAAATATTTAATATTTTGCTCAACACAGAAATCCGTCAAGATATCCACATTACGATTTGCTCGTTCTTCAGTAGTGAAGATATAATGATCCGGTATGATAACAACCTTTTCGCGATGGCAGACCTGTGATAGTGAAAGAGAGAAGCAACAAGTAAATTTGAAAATTGGGTGAGTTATATTTATCATCAGACTAGAGAAAAAGTAACTAACTACTAAACTCTTCAATTAGGAACCTTATCTTTTACTACTTTTTGAAGGAAGAAGTAAAAGAAAAACTTAAACATAGTTTATTGTGATTGTTTATAGCTTAAAAGTTTTAGAATTCCTTTCATTATCATTCAAAAATATTTGTAAAAAGGAAATAGCAACAAAATGGCATGAGTTAAGATTGCCAAAATAAAGAACGCGATAGAGGAAAACAAAGTGGCTTCTACCGCTTGTTACTATGACAGAACCATGAATGTAGCCTTCAAACAGGCTCAAACCCACAATTTTGGGAAAAATATTAAAAAATAGAAACTTTTAAAATTGCCTTTAGTAATATGTGGAAAAGGATTACTTGAATAGCTTAACTTTCAAAGTATTATTAATGCTTCACGCATCTAAAGCAATTATGTGAGATCTTTTCAGCTTAAACCCATAATGTGAGATCTTAACTTGACCAGCTTAGCTTTTGAAGTATTATTAATGCTTCACGCATCTAAAGCAATTATGTGAGATCTTTTCAGCTTAAACCCATAATGTGAGATCTTAACTTGAACAGCTTAGCTTTTGAAGTATTATTAATGCTTCACGCATCTAAAGCAATTATGTGAGATCTTTTCAGCTTAAACCCATAATCTCAATGGAAGTCGTCATGGGACCAGACAGAGGATGGTTCTTTTGGCTAAGCAGACCGAAGATTCATAAATGAAAATTTCAGAATGAAAATGAAGCAAAAAGCACAAGTTGCTACAACTTTAAGGTTGTAAACCCAAGTGCAAGTTGTTGCAAGTAGTAAATCTCAGAAGTCCAAGGTTGAACCACAGGGAATTGGAATGAAATAAACTATTCTATGAGTAATAAACGGTTGGTGGAAATACGACGAAGACGAACACTAAAGCGTCGGGGATTCACTTCGGATAAATGAGTAAAAATTGCCCTTGATCTTTAATTTAACTCATATGCAAATCAACTAAGGAGTGATCTCATATGGAAGATAAAACATTAATCACAAATATACTAAAAGATAGATCTTGATAATTGTTTGAGAGAATATGTCAAAATAAGTTGTTTGAATGTAGAGATTATCTAAGCATTTATTGTGCTAAAATTGTCAACAATAAATCAAAGTTTTTAACAAACCAAAACCATTTGTAGAACATATACTTCAACCAAGTAAGAAGATGAACATTGAAAAACAAAATGAAAGATCAAAGACAATACTAAACATTCATCAAAGTTTCACCCTTAGCTCTAGCTAAATATTTAGAAATACATAGTAAAATGTTACAAAGAAAATGAAGGAAACTAGAATATGATGGAGAGGATTGGATTCCCTCAAAATCGTGGCCAAGGTCTCCTTTTATAGGCAAAGGAACATCCAAAATTCAAGTAGGCAATGCAACTTGTTTCTGTCCAGCTTCAAGACAGCTAGAACATGCAACTTGATGCCAAGTTTCAGATACATTGTACAGCGAGTTTGGACTTATGATCAACAGATTAATTATTGTCACTTGAGTTAGCTTTCCATTGGTTCAAATATAAGGTTCATTGGATTTATATAACTCCAGATATGACAAAAACAATGGGTCCTGCTTCACAGGTAAAGCTGTATCCGGCAGGTAACAAGCTGGACTTTGGACGGTAAATTTGGCTTCCTTGTGATACGAATTTGATTTCTTCAAAAACATGAAAGTTGTATAAATATTAATTATCTTTGAAACTCAACTTGAATCACCTCGATCCAATGTCTGCAGCTCAAGTTATGAATATTTTACCGACGACTACTTCTTGCTTCAGACAGTCACTATTTTTGACTTTTCAACATTATTTTCCTCCACTTGCTCCACTTGTTCTAAATTGGAAATACATGTGAAATACATCAAATAGATACTCTTTCAAATGTATAATACTCATGCTGACATGCATGTAAATACGTATTTCAATTAATTGCATTTTTAACCATGTATTTATGGAAATTGAATTTACGGCAAGAGAATTAAAATTAGAGACTAACATTAGCGTTTTTAAACAAAGTGAATGTAAAATGCCGTGTAAATGATATATCTTGAAGCACTTTTAGATGCTAATCACAAGTCCCACAAGGTTATCAAGAAGAGCAGAAGTTCAGTTGCTCATTCCTTTGTGCAGATAACCATTGAGTCATAGAGACTACCTAGGCCTAAAAGGAAGAGAGACCAACTCAAAACAAGAAAATGTTACTGTGCCTTTGATTGGAAAAAATTCCAAAAAATTCTACATTCGGAATCAGCAACTTCCCATTGCAGAAAGAGATCCTCTAGTCCAAAATAAGGAAGATAGCATGGCTGACCCACTAAATGAAAGTTTATCATGGGACAAGAAGACAATGTTTCAATATTGACAGTCATAGTCATAAACTACCTCTACTTAATATGTTCAATATTCTAAAGTTCAACTACGAAATCATTTTCACAATTGCTAAAAATCTAACAAGGGAAGAATTCTCAGCTTCGGTTGAATCATTTTAATGTTTGGCTCTAGGAATTAGGAAACCTTAAAATCTTTGAATAGAATGAATTGTATCACAGCAGGAGTGTATCCATCCTACAACTTTATGTTTCTACAGCAATAGTTGTTTCTAAATCCAAGCTCCAAAATACACCTGAGATCATAGAATCGTTACAATTTGTTATCAAAATATTATCATTCAACTCATCATTCACTCCACTGAAACCTGGGGGGTCATGCCAACTCATCTAAAATAAAGTTGCAACATCCACAATTCGGATTCAATTCAATTTCTAAGTCTTTTCAAGTCATATATCAACATAATATCTGGTCCATATAACAATGTTCAATTTCAACAATGTATATCACACCAAAATCTCCTCTCCTATCGCACATTATAAATATGAAAATTTTCACATAGGATTTTAAAATATCAAACAAGAGAAAATGTTCTTTAGCATATACCTTTGCATTTTCTCCAAAATCTTTCTTGAAAATTCCAATGGCACCAGGGCCACAAGCATCATGGGGCATCAAAATATCAACTTTCACCCACACACTCTCCAGCGACCAACTGGGTTTTCTCTAAAGCCCTTGCTAGTATCTTTTCAGTCATGGTCAACCCGGTTTTGACTTGGAAAATATCCGAAATTTACCAAAATCACACCATTAAATCCAATACATCAGAAAACCAGGAGAAAAATCACAAACTTTATCCCAAAATATGTTCTCACCGAACCAGTTGTGGATGGTTTGCGCTCAGATTGTTGTGGTGCCATCACAGACGCAATTTTCCTGGAGACCATTTTCTTGGAACTCTGTATATAAAATGAAGGCTATGAAGAGAAGGTTGAGAAACCCGCATCTTTCTGCAGGAAAATGAAATGAAAAATAGGAGAAAAAGATTAATTTTTTTAGCATTTTACACAATAAATACATAAATGAATTTATATGCAGATACAAATGGAGACGTTCAAACCTTGATGAAAGGTGAAGAGCTTGGAATGATGGTCGAGGGAGCCATTATAAATTGGATTCTACCAGGATGGATCTAGGATTTTTGATAAGGAGGCTGAAACTTAAGAAAATCAATAATAAAATTTATATACAATAAAAATGACTAATGAGAGGCATCTTTGTAATATATTGCCTCTCCCATCTAATAACTGAGAAGTCAGAATCTAGCGTTCTTAGTGCTATCTCTTATTCCATAATCTCATTAACTCCAAAATAATAATAATAAGGTAGAGAATTCTGAAGCCAAGAATGCTTGCCAATTGGGAATATTGCAGACTGAGTAACAATCATTTTAACTTGCAAATCATAAGGATCATGTATTTTTTAGCACAAAGAGAAGAAATTATTTTGGTGCTACCAAGTAAACAATCCAGGAATTGCATCATTTAGAGATGATAGGGACTAGGGAGATACAAGGCAAGCCAGAATATAAGATGACATTTATGAGCTTATATTTCAGGAACCTAAAAATCATACTAAACACTGCATTGTAAATTATTAGCTATTCAATGGGCATCAATAATCTCCCAATATTATGAAGAAAAACCATAAAATGAGGGAAAGAAAATATAGAACTAATTCATTTAATTTTACATCGGGAAAATCTTGTTCATTAAGTGCTCTGGACTTGTGAACTCATGTTTTAGCATTGCAGAAAAAATGTGATGCCAACCAGAGAGGGGACAAGGACAGTAAACCTCAAAAGTGAAAACTTGCCATATAGTCCATCAAAAGCAATGAGCCATAACACGAGCGGCTCTTGCTTACTAGTCGGTAGCTGGACATTTTATTCAACAACTGATTGTGTAACAAACAAGAGGTTTGGTACCTAACTTGTATTGACAAAACACCAAATCCATAAAATAATAAATGCGTAACTCCATAAACAGTGGTGAATCTAAGATCCAAGTCCAGCCAGGGCGGGTTGACCGTTGATCGTTGACTGACGACCGTCGACGATCGTAATAGTCCAATATTACGATCAATTACAATTGATTAAAAAAAAATCAAGTACACATGGGTTGAATTGAGCGGCCAACATCTTGTCAATTAAATTTTATCACTTTGACTAATTTCCTAAATGTAAATTCTCAAATCAATAATCATAACTCACAAAACATAAATTACATATCATAAATCACAATTCACAACACAATTTCGTAAACATAAATTTCCAAATCAATAATCATTCCTCATCAAAATATAAATTACTTATCATAAATCACGAATGCAAATATAATTTCGTAAACATAAATTCTTAAATCAATAATCATAACTCATAAAACGTAAATTACTTATCATAATTCATAAATCACAATTCGCAATTTTTTAATTCCCAAATGAATAAATCACAACATATTTAACATCAATTAATCAACTTAAATCACTGACCTGAGGAAGGAATCCCTTAGCATTAATATTGGCTCCAAGTCTCCAACCAGTGAACCAGAGAACTAGCTCACCAAGTGGACAAAGAATTCCGCGATTTTGTTCCAATTTCACACCAAATTGATACCCTTAAACTATTAAACATGGTGTTGAGCAGTTAGCACCTACAAATTACAATAAAATTAAATTAAATTTGTCAATTTAGCAGTTAGCACTCAGTACATACAAACAGGCAATCATACTATTCATACCTTGTGAAAATTTTCATTTAAAAAATGTAAGCACTCACATAATATTTTGGCACTGTTCAATTATGTAATTATATCCCTCACCCTCAGTCCAATATTTGAGGAATATAATAATTAATAGAAGTAAATTTTGAAGATAAGTCAAGTTGCAGTAATCGTATTTCTAATTAAATTTTGTACTTTTAAATTTTAATCCACCCTATTTATTAATCATACAATATTTTATGACTTGTTGTATAGTTAATTAGTATATCAACAGATAACACAACAATATATCTATCTTTACTCCAAAACTCAAAAAGATGTAAGATTTTCATAATGAAGTTAAAAGTCATGTTAGAAAAACAATTAGAAATCAAGGGCGAACCGGCGTTGGCGAAGGAAGAAGTGTCTCACACTGCAGCCTACAGGGCAGGGGCGAAATCGGTGGTCTCCGGCACCATTGTGTCTCGTCACTTGTGTGCAGCGTCATGCTGGTAGGGGCGAGCGGGGAAGGAAGAATTGAATAAATTGGAAAAGGGTTTTCTTCCAGCCTTCCACCGTTCCACGATTTGGGAGAAATGGGAGTTATTTGGGCATTTGATTCAATTTTATTGGGTAATTGGACTTTGATAAATTGGGTTATTTTCATTTAACAATTGGGCTAACTATAAGAGGCCCAACATTTGAACCCTGCAAAAAAAAAAAAAAAAATCAAAAACAAAAACTGGACTCCGCGCATCTGCAACTGGCGCTACCTGATGGATCTGAAGATTTCGGCCGAGCCAGCACGTGCGGCCGCGCCCCCTCACCGGGTGCTGGCTCCGCACCTGTCCATAAATATAAAGGGTGTTTGTGAGATATTTTTATGTAAAATTGCATTTTTAGATAGTAAATTAATGAAAAATGTGTAATTGAGAAATAAGGAAATATTTTTGATTTACGTGTAATATTATTTTAATAAAGAATATGTGGTTAAAAATAAGAGAGAGAAAAATATATTTTAAAAAAAAGAGTACCAAAAGGGACCATAATATTTATCCTTACAATTAAAATTAAATTGGTAAATCTTTATACAATTTCAGCCCAACAATCGGCCATCCCCAAATTAGTTCAAACTAATAACACACACCCATCCCAAAATGGCCAAACTAGGTCCCCCATCCCTAAGTAGCCGGGAAAAAAATAAATAAATAAAAATCAATTGAGAAACATCAAGCACTTCAGAAAGAAAATCAACAAAAGTGAGATAAAGGACTAAGCGAATGTGTTTGAACAATGATTGTGATGCGAACCCTGTAGCAATGGAAACTACGAAACCCACAACGAGATTGATGCGGAACCCAAGAACGCCAATACTAACCCGGTTTTGGATCTTGAACCCCAAGAATTGAACTAAAAAACCCTAGATTAGCGAAGAACCTAAAACCCCTTGATTACAATTGAAAGAACCCACAATCCGATTGATAGAACGCCACAAGAAGTTGAATCTTGAAAAGTTCCAAGATTGTTCAAGAAGAACAATTAAATTGAAAGAATAATTCTATCTCTATAATATTAAGCAATAGTCAAAGTTCAGAGGTTTTTACAATGAAAAGATATTTTCCTATTTATACTATTCCTCGAATAGGAGTCAAAAGGAAATATAATTCTAATAATCTAACAAAATTCCTAAAATATTCGTCCAATATGGTAGGAGTTTGATTTAGAATGAAATTCTAGTAAAATAAGGAAAAACGCGGAAAAAAGGAAAATCGCCCCAGAAATGAACCATGCTGCCGCATGGTAATAAAATTTCGGCCATAGAATTCTCGGTATCATGTCGTACGGCTGCACAGTGCTGCCGCATGGTTATACTGCACACTCTTTTCTTTGGCTGCTTGTAACGCATTGATCCATTTTGTTTTGGCCTTCGATCCGAACACGAAACTTGTCCCATTTTGAGTCCCGAATATGGTTCCATCAATAGTTTCTTGAACGAGCAATCCTATCGCTTGTTTCACTTGTTTTGCTCTTGATTATCAACTGGTCTCGTCTCGTACTTGCCTTCTTCTGACTCGGCTCTTGGATCACATCATCCATTTCCTCTTCAAAAGGATTCATCCTCGAATCTGAACCTGCATCAAATAGAGAGAGATCAGATACATTAAAAGTAGCTGAAACATTATACTCACCAGGTAAATCCACTTTGTAGGCATTGTCATTGATCCTCTCGATGATTTGAAATGGTCCATTGCCTCGTGGTTGCAATTTTGGCTTCCTCTGTTCTAGAAAACGCTCTTTTCTGAAATGTACCCAGACCCAATCTCCAAGCTCAAATGTAACGCGTCTTCTTCCTTTATTTGCTTTTGATGCAATCAACTTTCCTTTCTCTCCAATCTGCATCCTGACCTTTTAATGAAGTGTTTTCACCATCTCGGCTTTTCGTTTCCCATCCAAGCTACCTCGTTCATGCACAGGCAAAGGCATTAAATCCATAGGTGTTAGTGGATTAAAACCATAAACAATTTCAAAAGGAGAAAACGAAGTAGTAGAATGTGTGGCTCGATTATATGCAAACTCTATAAACGGTAAACACTTTTCCCATGATTTTAGATTTTTATTGATCACTGTCCTAAGTAGTTGAGTCGTAGTTCGATTAACTACCTCAGTTTGTCCATCTGTTTGTGGGTGACAAGTTGTAGAAAATAATAACTTAGTTCCTAACTTACTCCACAGAACACGCCAAAAATGACTCAAAAACTTCACGTCCCTATCAGACAATATACTTTTAGGTACTCCATGTAAACGTACTATTTCCCTAAAGAATAAGTCTGCAATATTAGTAGCATCGTCAGTTTTATGACATGGTATGAAGTGTGCCATCTTACTAAACCTATCGACCACTACAAATATTGAATCCCGACCCCTTTTTGTCCTAGGCAAACCTAACACAAAGTCCATAGATATGTCTACCCAAGGTTCACTAGGTATAGGCAAAAGAGTATACAAACCATGGGGTTGAACCTTAGACTTAGCCTTTTTACAAGTTATGCACTTTCCACATATTTGTTCTATGTCATGTCGCATTTTAGGCCAATAAAAATGTTCCCCTAACATGTCTAAAGTATTTTGAACCCCGAAGTGTCCCATTAAACCATCCCCATGTGCTTCCCTTACCAATAATTCACGCAAAGAACAATTAGGAATGCACAACTTATCTTCTCTAAACAAATATCCTTCATGCCTATAGAATTTATCAAATGCACCTTTGTCACATGAAGCATAAATATTAGAAAAATCACAATCAGATTCATACATGCCCTTAATATGCTCGAAACCCAGTAATTTAGTACTTAATGAATTTAAAAGCACGTACCTTCGAGACAACGCATCAACAACTATATTTTCGTTACCTTGTTTGTACTTGATGACGTAGAGAAATGTCTCGATAAACTCTACCCATCTCGCATGTCTTTTGTTCAACTTACCTTCACCTCGCAAATGCTTTAAAGATTCATGATCGGTGTGTATCACGAATTCCTTTAGCCATAAGTAGTGCTGCCAAGTCTCCAATGCTCGAACAAGTGAATACAGCTCCTTGTCATATGTCGGATAATTCAATGCTGCCCCACTTAACTTTTTGCTAAAATAAGCAATAGGTCTCCTTTCCTGCATTAACACTGCTCCTATACCTATTCCTGATGCATCACACTCAACCTCGAATGTTTTATCAAAATTTGGTAATGCCAAAATAGATGCTTTACATAGCTTATCCTTAATTGTGTTAAATACAATTTCTTGAGATTCTCCCCAATGAAAACCTACACTCTTCTTTACTATTTTAGTCAACGGTGTGGTGATGGTGCTAAAATCTCTTACAAACCTCCTATAAAAACTAGCCAATCCATGAAAACTCCTAACTTCAGTTATAGTCTTAGGTGTTGGCCATTCTTTAATAGCTTTTATCTTTTCTTCATCGACTTCCACCCCATTAGCACTAACCACAAATCCTATGAAAACAACTCTATCCATGCAAAATGTGCACTTTTTGAAATTAGCGTATAGTTGTTCCTTTCGAAACACAACAAGCACATAATTTAAATATTCTAAATGCTCATCTAGGTTTTTGCTATAGATTAAGATGTCATCAAAATAAACTACAACAAATTTCCCAATAAAAGCACGCAAAACATGGTTCACTAAACGCATAAAAATGGTCGGTGCATTAGTGTGTCCAAACGGCATAACTAACCATTCATATAATCTATACTTAGTCTTAAACGCCGTTTTCCATTCATCACCCTCCCGCATGCGAATTTGATGATACCCACTCTTAATATCAATTCTACTAAAAATGCAAGTACCATGCAACTCATTAAGCATATCATCTAGCCTAGGTATTGGGTGACGATACTTTACCGTGATATTGTTAATAGCTCGGCAATCCACGCACATTCTCCAAGTCCTATCCTTCTTAGGCACCATCAAAATAGGTACAACACATGGACTCATGCTCTCCCTGGCATAACCTTTGCTCATCAACTCCTCCACTTGCTTTTGAAGCTCCTTCGTCTCCTCAGGATTGCTTCGGTAAGCTGGTCGATTCGGTATGACAGCTCCGGGTACAAAGTCAATTTGGTGCTCGATGCCTCTAATTGGTGGCAATCCACTTGGCATCTCCTCAGGAAACACATCGTCGAACTCCTGCAATAAAGACTTAACCAAATTAGGGAGGGATGTATTAGAATCCTCGAAATTGAGGAGGGACTCCTTGTACACTAACAATATTATTTGCCTATTATCGCTCATAGCCTTTTTCAACTCACTCTCTTTTGCATAGAAGTTGACCTTTGGCTTTTCTCTCCGCCCAGCTGACTCTTTCTTTTCTCCACTCTTAGCCACCTCACTATTTTCTCTGTTAGTGATGATTTCACTATTGCCTCTCCTTTTTCCTGACTCTCTTATTCTCTCCTCACTTTTCAGCTTGATTTGATCTCCATACACTTGTGTTGGTGTTAATGGCACAAGAGTAATAGTCTTACCATCCTTGAAAAAGCTATAACGATTCCTATAACCATCACGTGTGACCCTTCTATCATATTGTTATGGTCTTCCTAACAAGATATGACCCACATGCATAGGCACCACATCACATACTACTTTGTCACTATAACTCCCAATTGAGAAATTAATTAAAACTCTTTTATTCACCCTAACTTTCCCACCTTCATTCAACCATTGCAATTTATAAGGTCTAGGGTGTCTTAACAATGCTAGTCCTAATTTCTCAACTAAAGTTGTACTAGCTACATTCATGCAACTCCCACTATCAATAATCATACTACATACCTTATCGTTGACGTAACAACATGTGTGGAATATATTTTCTCGCTGCTGTTCCAAATCATCCACTTTGACTTGAGTGTTAAGAGCTCTCCTTGATACCAACGATTCCCCAACAGCAAACTCCAATTTTTCTTCTTCTTCAATGTCCTCCAATGCAGGCATGTCCTCAAACTCTCCTTCACTTTCACTCACCACTTCTCCATTATCCAACAAAACCATTACCCGTTTATTTGGGCATTGAGAAGCAATGTGCCCTGACCCCAAGCATCTGAAACACTTGATGTCTCTATTTCTTGATAGTTGTGAATCTGTTTTGGGTG